CCGAAGGCAGACACTTTAAGACTGAGCCATCCAAGTACCACAATAATTTTTTTAAAAGAGCATGAAAGATGGGGCCCCTGGATGGCTCAGTTAAGCATCCAACTCTTGATTTCAGCTCAGGTCACAATCTCAGGGTTGTGAGATCAAGCCCTGCATTGGGCTCCACGCTGGGCATGGGGCCTGCTTAAGACTTTCACACTCTCTCCCTCTGCCCCTCCCCGCCAATGCACTAAAATAAAATAAAATACAAAGTAAAAATGAGCACGAAAGACATTCCTGACAGGGAAAAATGGGAAAGTACACCATATTTAATTCTTTATTATTTAATTCAGGGAATCCCTTTGTATTGTACTATATTAAGATAGCATGCAGCAAAATCCCATGGGCATATGAATTTATGAAGACTTGCCTTAACACTAAAAATATCCAGACAACTTTATTATTTCATCTATGCTTTCTACTCTGTCATCCTTTCCCTTACTTGCCACTATCCTTTTATGATATAAATATCAATACTCCTCTCCATAATTTAAAAACCAGGTAACAAAGTTGTTATGGCTCAGTATATAGTCTTGAAGTTTCAGGAGTTCCTCTGATAATAAAAAGTACACAAGTTCAGGAAAAGGACTTTGATCTATCTATTTTGGCTACAGAATACCCTCTTCTGCTGACTTTCTCATTCACTACTGTGTTCTGAATAAATAAGGTTATCAGCCGTTGTCCAAATGGGTGAAGAATTTGCATCTGTGTATACTTCAAAAGCACATTGATAAATATGGATCTTCACCACTTACAGCCTTTGAACTACTGATATAACTCAGGAAAAGTCTTTACGTTTTTTTACTGGACCAGTATTTCTAACAATATCTATTTTTGTTACAAAGAAAATTATAAAATCTATTCCTAGTATTTTTGTATAGATACCTTACTAATTATTTAATTACATTCATAGTACTGATACATATTACAACACCCCAATAAAAATCCCTAGACTGATTTCCAATGAACTTCCTTAGGAAGACAACTATTTACATGTGGTGTCATAACTTATTACTGGGAGAATTAAGTGCATCCTGGGTGATTCCACTGGGTAAGGACTCTTGAAAGTTTGTGCCTGGTTTCCTCTGAACTTCACCCCATGTGCTTTTCCCCTTTGCTGATTTTTCATTGTATCTTTTCATTATAATGAAATAAATCATGGTCATTAGTATGACTATATGCTGAGTCCTTTGCATCTTCTCAGCAAATAATCAAACCTGGGGGTGGTCTTAGAGGTCCTCTGACACAATCTCACAACTATAGTTAGTATCAAATATTTATATAAAACAATAGAAAAAAAATTTGTTTAGTATAGAAGCATTTACAAAGTATTTTTAAGTATGAAACAGCTGTCTGTCTCCTTAAATGGACAGTGAATGGGAGAATTTACCTCTCCCATTTATTTACTATTCCCAAATTTACTATTTAAAACAAACAGCATAATACAAAAATAAACGTTCCACCTCAGATAAGTGAAAATAAAATATTCTATATTGATAAGAACCATAGACTTTGCACCTACCATTTACTGAGTGCCTACTATGTGCTATCATTACTATTTTTTTAAAGATTTTATTTTAGAGGCCCCTGGGTGGCTCAGTTGCTTAAGCATCCAACTCTTGATTTCGGCTCAGGACATGATCTGAGCCTTGTCCAACTCTTGATTTCATGATATGAGCCTCATGAGACTGGGCCCCACATAGCGCTCTGCGCTCATTGGGGAGTCGGCTTGAGATTCTCATCTCCCTTTGCTCCCCCCCCACCCCACGCACGCTAGGGTGCACACTCTCTCTCTCAAATAAATAAATAAATCTTTCACAAGCCTGAGATCAAGAGTGGCACACTCCACCAACTGAACCACCCAGGCACCCCTGTGCTAATAATTTCTAAGTGCTTTATGTCAGCTATCTAATTCTCATAAAAACCTTTCAGGTACAAACATATACGTACCCCCCGTCTCTGTTTTGTAGATAAGATACAGAAGCTCAAAGAATCTACCTAAGTCGCTCTAAGGCCAAAGAGGTAGTAAAGACAACGATGGGATTCAAACTTGTTTATCTGATTCCAGAGCCATTATATTTCCACTACGACTCCAAGACAATACGACATAAGAGCCTAACAAAGTGGAACAGTTACTTGAATTTCTCACTTAACAGAAGTAATATGCTAACAGAGAGAAATTTAACATTTTAATAACAAAAACATGTAAAAACTTCATTAGAATCCATTCAATGCAGTTTTGATAAAAAAATTACTTTAAAATATATTACTATTAGCTATTTTTTTAAAGATTTTATTTATTTATTTGACAGAGAGAGACACAGCGAGAGAGGGAACACAAGCAGGGGGAGTGGGAGAGGGAGAAGCAGGCTTCCCACTGAGCAGGGAGCCTGATGCGGGGCTCGATCCCAGGACCCTGGGATCATGACCTGAGCCGAAGGCAGACGCTTAATGACTGAACCACCCAGGCGCCCCAACCATTAGCTATTTAACTGAAAGACCCATAATGAAAAATTACTGTATCTGTCAGTGAAATACAGTAAAAATAGATACTAAGAAATGTAGTAACAAAGAAATGCAAAGCTTGAACTTACCATTCTTCTTTTATACTTTCGAGATTATCTACTTCTTTCATTCTTTTGTCTTACTGTAAAAGTAAAAATAAACAAAAACTAAAGTCCTTAAGTATTAAAAATAAGTTCATTCTTATATATACATTAATAATCTTTGACATAAGCTATTAGGTGTCCCTAAGGTAGCACTGAAAGGGTCTTAAGAACTTATGTGACCAAACTCAAAGCTGTCATTTTCATCTATAGAGTACAACAATAAAAAATAAATTTTGGAATCTAATAATCTTCCAACAAAAGAAATTTTTTTACAACTATTTCTTAAGAATTATGATAAAAATTATAGTGTGCCCTTTGGTTTAACAAACAAAAGTGAATGAAACATTCTTATTCTCATTCTTACAATTCCTTGGGGAAGCAAACTGACGAGATGTACAGTATACAATTCAGTGGCATCAATTATATCCGCAATGTTGTACAATCATCACCACTATCCATTTCCTAGACTCTTTCAACTTCCCAAAAAGAAACTCTGTACCCATTAAACAATAACTCCCTCTTCCTCTCTCTTCCCAGGCCTAGTAACCCCTATTCTACCTTCTGCCCTTATGAATTTGCCTTGTATTTCACATAAATAGAATCATACATTTGTCCTTTTGTGTCTGGCTTATTTCACTTAACATAAATTCTTTCCTTTTATGGCTAATATTCCATTGTATGTATATACATTTTGTTTACACATTCATCTGTTTTTTCCCAAGATTTTATTTATTAGAGAGCACATGCGCGCACACGCATGAGCGGGCGGGAGGGGCAGGCAGAGGGAGAAGCAGACTCCCTCTGAGCAGGGGACCAGATGTGGAGCTAGATCCCAGGACTCCGGGATCATGCAGACGTTTAACTGACTGAGCCACCCAGGCGCCCCTACACATCTGGTGATGGACATTTGGACTGTTTACACCTCTGGCTATTGTGAATAATTTTGTATTCCCTCCAGCAATGTACCAGGGTTCTAATTTCTCCACATCCTTGCCAATACTTGTCAGTTTGTTTTATTAAATAATACCCATCCTAATAAAGTGTATCTCATTGTGACTAGTGATGTCGAGCATCTTTTTCATGTGCTTATTGGCCATTTGTCTATCTTCTTTGGAGAAATACCCGTTCAGGTGCTTTGCCCATTTTTGATGTGTTTTGCCTGCTCTTTTTAAGTTGCATTTTCTTGATTCAGCATTTGCTTGGCTGCTATACACCACGCACTACTTTCCAGAGTTCTAAGTTGGTTCTAACCGTTTCTGCGTGTTCTTCAATGTTTCTGTGGGAACATGAGCTTGCAACTGCCTATTTTGCCATTTTGCTGATGTGACCGTCAATATTGGTTTCTTTAAAGATTTTATTTGAGAGAGAGTGCGCAAGAGAATAAGCAGGGGGGAGGAGAAGGGAGCCCAGCATAGGGCTCAATCCCAGCACCCTGGAATTATGACCTGAGCCTAAGGCAGATGCTTAACCAACTAAGCCACCCAGGCACCCCCTCAACTTTAATTTAAAATTTTTAAATCTCAGATCTATTTGGAACTTATCTTAGTTACAGTGATTCCACATGACAGTTGAGTTTACTGAACAGTCCACCCTAAAAAAAATAAAAGTCAATCTTTTATTACTTTTTTTTTTTAGCTCTAAGAGTATGGACTCATGGGTTTTTGTTTTAGTCAATGTTTTGATGTTCCGTTTATTTTGATGTTCCATTTCCCAGATTTGTCCCACGGGAACCCCTTCAGTGTGATGTCCTTTTGATACGTATTCATCATCCTGTGAACACCTTCTTACTTTCTGGAGCAAGAAGATGCTCCAGGATCATTTGTTCTTTCTCTGCCCCAGCCCACGAATCAGACTTTTCTCTGAGGAGCCGTAGTTACTTTTTTTTTTTTTATAACTGTATTTAGAAACCAAGATCTGGGTGTTTGGCATGTTTGTTTTTTCTACTGTGTTGTTGCTTCCAGGACCTCTCAGTGGACAGATGGCTTGGACTACTTTAAACACTGATTGTTTGCTTGTTTCTTACAATATTTTTTATAAAGGCAAAACACTAATAGAGAAAGTTTGGGAAAGAGAGAAAATCATCCATACTTTTATTACCCCCAACAATAACTATTTAAACTTTTGCTTCTTCCCGTCCATTTCTTCATACACATTCAAATGCATTGCTACTATATTAATGATTTTTGTTTCCTGTAATTTTCATTTCTGTGCTTTTTCCATTTGGCTACATCAATTGCTTCATAATTATTTTTTTTTTTTAAAGATTTTATTTATTTATTTATTTGAGAGAGAGAATGAGAGAGAGAGCGAGAGAGAGCATGAGAGGGGGGAGGGTCAGAGGGGGAAGCAGACTCCCCGCTGAGCAGGGAGCCCGATGCGGGACTCGATCCCGGGACTCCGGGATCATGACCTGAGCCGAAGGCAGTCGCTGAACCAACTGAGCCACCCAGGCGCCCGCTTCATAATTATTTTTAAAGGATACATATTATTCCATCAGGCAGCTATACCATGACTACTGGGAATTTAGTTCCCTTTCAATTTTTCCTAACAAATAACAGCTGTGGTGGGTAAATTCTGTGTATACAGCTTACTTTGAGGTTCCTTTAAATTCCCAAAAATGTGGAAAATCAGGGTGAAAAATGTATGAATATTTCTGTAACATGTAAATAGTGTATGTCTATATTTAAAAATGTAAGCACATTTGGGGGCACCTGGGTGGATCAGTTGGTTAAGCATCTGCCTTCTGCTCAGGTGATGATCCCAGAGTCCTGGGATCGAGCCCTGCATTGGGCTCCCTGCTCAGTGGGGAGCCTGCTTCTCCCTCTGCCTATGCTCTCTCTCTCTCTGTCAAATAAATAAATAAATAAAATCTTAAAAAAAAAAAAGTAAGCACATTTGAATAGAAGGCAAACCTGCAAAGTAATAGCCACTGAAGATCCACCAGAGCCATCCTAAAGCCATGAGAACAAGAAAATGGCCACAAGAAGTAGTCCACTGCTACCACTTAAAGCGCTCTCTCAGGGACGCCTGAGTAGCTCAGGCGTTAAGCGTCTGCCTTTGGCTCAGATCATGGTCCCAGGGTCCTGGGATCGAGCCCTGCATCGGGCTCCCTGCTTGGCGGGAAGCCTGCTTCTCCCTCTCCCACTCCCCCTGCTTGTGTTCCTTCTCTCGCTGTGTCTCTCTGTCAAATAAATAAATAAAATCTTAAAAAAATAAAAATAAAATAAAATAAAGCACTCTCTCAAAAAAAAGTCTCCAAAGTACCTGGGGGTGAATTTAATCTGGTAACTGAGGATTTGGTGGCAGGAGCCTTTCACCCAATAAAAATCAGTCTGAATGATCTTAGGGCCTGCTAATGGAGCTGGGCCAATAACCACAGCAATTTGTGTTGAGCACTAATTCCCACTTAGCCTCTGTTTTGCTAGGAATTGAAGTAGGATAGTGGACCTTGCTCTGGAAAATATCCTATCATTGAAAGTTGTTACAGATACCTCTAGCTTTAATTATGAATTGAATATAAATTGATAGCAAATTTATTTCCTAACCCTTTCATGAGACAATTGTGAAAAATTCTGAAAGACAAGGAGAAACAGGAAGGCAAGGAAAAAGGAAGAAATGCAATGGCGCTGAGGAGTGAGTGTGGAATATAAAGTGAGGGACAGCAACATCAATGGCATCCCAACAATAACTTCAGACTGCCTTGTAGCTAGAGAGTAAAGTAGGAGTCACTAAAGCCACGGCATCCAAGAGGATGGCATCCAACAATTAAGGCAAATTGGATGTCTCTACTGTATCAAGTTATTTTGTATTTCTAATTCTTAATCCTTCCTGTAATGCTTTTCCAAAATTATTCTCTAAACTTAAAAATGCAAATAGACCATTTCATTCAAAGAATCTTAGTCAATATTAATTATATGTAAGGCACCTGACTAGGCATTAGATTTACAAAGTAATAAACCAGACAAGATTTTTTTGTACCAATAATTTGCATAGATTATAAAGATTTATATAGATTAAATAGATTATATGTAAACTATATGCTTTAAAAATGCAGCCATGGGGCACCTGGGTGGCTCAGTAGGTTAAGCATCTGCCTTCAGCTCAGGTCATGATCCTGGAGTCCCTGGCTCGAGTCCCGTGTCTGGCTCCCTGCTCAGCGGGGAGTCTGCTTCTCCCTCTCCCTCGACCCCCTCCCCCTGCTCCTTCTCTCTACGTCTCTCTCTCACTCACTCTCAAATAAAATATTAAAAAATAAACATGCAGGCATTAAAAATGATTGTTAAATATAAGATACAATACTGTCAATGTTCTTTTGAGTTTGCAATGTTTATTACAGTTACTGGATAAATATAAGCACCATCTTTGGACCGAGGATGGACCTGAGGTCTAAGGGGGAAAAAAACAGTGTATATTTTTACTCATTGTATAGAAAAAATCTGAACTAAAACCATTAAGAGGATGCGAGAAGGTAAAGGAGGTAAACGTAAGAAAGCTGAGATCGTTAATCTATCCTAATAGCAATATGAAAGGCAATGTTCAACAATAAGGACTCAGAATGTACATGCTGTTTAGAAATATGACTGTAAATAATAGAAAAAACAGCTAAGTTCAAAGGTAGTTGTACTTAGGGAAAGGGAATGGAGCATTTTTAGTTTTCTAACACTATTGTCTTTTAAACTACATGTATATATTATTCTAATTTAAAATAATTAAAAAGCAGAAAAAAATTAAAAACATATTCAGAAAACCAGAATTTCATGTTCACTAATTTTTTCTAAGACTTTGTCCTTCAAATCTCGTATTTCTAAACCTTAATTGCTTCCCTTTAAAATTCTTCCCCTTCAAACATACACAAAATAGAGAAAAATATAAACACCCATCCCAACCATTCAGGTATCAGAAAGTTTACATTTTGACTTATTTACTTCTTTTTTAAGAAATAAAGCATTACGAGATGCCTGGGTGGCTCAGTTGGTTGGGGTGCGACTTGATTTTGGCGTGGGTTGTGGTCTCGGGATTCTGGGAT